GTATACATACACGCTGTGCGGATACCCAAAAACATCGTCTTGCACCCAGACTGTACCCAATATAGGATTTTTCTGTCCGGAATTTTGGCTCATGGATTATCTATCACGATTAGCAAGAGGTTTATTCCCAAACTCGTACTTCAGATAAATGCTCTGCTTTTCACAAAACGCTACAGTGGGTCATAAACACACACTTTCCATCCAAATCCATCGAAGTTCATTCCCAGGAAAAACTGTTGATGACGACATTATGGTGTACTATTTACGACAAACATTTCTCTCTCTCTTTAGCCGCCCTCCAGGCGACGCAACTACACGACACGACGGCACGACGGCTCCCTTGCGTCGTGCCGTCGAGTCGAACCGTCGCCTTCTTGCCATTACTTTTGTACACACACGACACGTCGTGCCGTCGCGTCGTGCTGTCTCAGGTTTTTTTCCATGTTTTATTTTTTCCCGCATAAACGTCGCCCCTTCCGTCGCCCGTCGCGTCGTACCGTCGTGCGTCGCGTCGTGCATCGCGTCGCCTATTACGTCGCCTGAAGCACGACGTGACGCACGACGCGACGCGTCGTGTGCTGTCGCCCTTTGCTTCATGGTGTTTATAGAGGGCGCTTTTACTGTTTTCTTTCATTTCCGTCCCCCGTGCTTGCAAAGTACATGCTATTTACTCTTTGGTGTTGATTTGTTCTTGTTTTTATCTCATCCATTCCGCGATTAGGATTTAATATCTGTCATGTTTTATTAAGAAAAAGAAAAAAGAGCATAAAGAAAATCGGCATACGTAGGAACTGCTTTCTCATAATAAGTGGAAGCCCAGAATTCGTCACTCTTTAATCCCAGTCAATGATTTCTTTTTAATACCGTCGGTGTAGTTCCCATTTGTGGTAGATTTGTAATCTTATAGATACTGGTATTTCTCCGTGGTCCATCCCGGTAATTTCTAAGTAGTACTCCCAATTCCCCAAACAATTTGTCTACAATTGTATGACTGCAAGTTGGACCACGGGTTTAGGAAGTTACCACCGAGCCTGCTCTATAATACCATCAGAATATTCCGCCGTAGTCTTCCTTCAGGCCAGTCTTCCTCGTTACCTTCCTCAGCTCCACACTTTCAATGATATTAGCCCGTGTTTCTGAATAAAGCATTATACAGACGCTATTATCATTGTAGCCGTGTCTTTTTTTTCTACTCTGTTTGGCCACACACATAATTTCTCCTCAGATCCGCATGTTACATCAGCAAGCACGTAATAATGATTGATGTATTGTATCTTAGAATGGATTTTAAAATATTGTAGCGGGCATGATATGAGAATCATGACACCTGCTTACATTATTAATTTGTTTACTAGTTTACGCCTTTTATTATCAGCCAACCAGTGAGAATTAATTCGTTTCCGGCTAATATAATGAAAAGTTTTCGCACGGTTTAGGAAAATACAAATATTCTCACGTTAGAGAAGGCATCTTTTTAATAATGAGAAAAAAAATAGGGATTCTATTTAACAGAAAACGTTATGAATTAACAATCAAAATAAATAAAGGGCCTAGCTTGAAGACGATCTATTGCTGAAGTTGGGGACGACTTGACCTGGCTTGTCTTGACTTGGCAAGTAGCTTTAGAGCTTGTAGTAGAAAGGCTTGCAGTAAAAAGAGCTTGAATGGATGGCGAAGATGTGTTGGGCTATATCATGTTTAGGGTTCAAGTGCACAGCCTTTCCTTCCCCTCGACTAAATCAGGTTTCGGAACGGAATTCATGTGGCTCTGGTCCAGGCCACCCCCCGTCCAGCAACGTATGCATGTGTGGTTCAGTAGGCTTACACTGGTAATGTTTTTGCCTAGAGCAGGACAGGGACGAATTTGCAAGTATGGCAGGTTCGATGGAAGGAGAAATCACAGAGAGACAACAGAACAGTCTCTGTTCAGTCCAGTAGTCAAGTGAAGTGGAAGGTCACTGGCTAGGGAAGTTAACAGCTCCTTCTCAAAGACTCTTGTGGCTGGTTGCAAGTTCTACTACCAACTGCCCACACGCGCTGCCAAGCAACCTGCACAAATTGTATGACCTAATTCTGGGGGAATTAGGATTTCAAAAAGTGGGGCAAAAAATTAATTCTATTACATAATTATTAAGAAGATCAAAATTAGAGCAGAAAAAGTTAAAACAACGTTGTGGCTCATGTTATTTATTTCCTGGAGACAAGACTGATAGTTGGTCGTGACGCTCTCTCTAATTACATTTGATTAAAACAAAAACTTTTCTTCAACAACTCACTCTTAATGAAAACACAAAGTTAGAAAGCATGCATGAAAAAGAACAGCAGAGACAAGACCTGTTACCTATTCGCTCTTTGTACGCTACCGCCATAGGCATGCAGAGCCTCGATCTGGCAGCTTTTTCCGTGTATATTGGTAAGTAATTTTGGGCATGATGTTGCGTTAGTTCTTCTACCATCTACACTATACGATTGGACAATATTTCAAAAGCTGTCCGTTCAAGGCTCTGCATGCCCATGGCGGCAGCGT